ATTATTTGTGTTGAATTTTTGTTTGGCTTTATTCAATGTACTAGGAGAAGTTCAAAAGGCAGATCTAGCCCATGTTCTGTGAGCCAGGCTTTCCTGGACCTGACAGGTCGTGTTCTAAGTGTACATAAATCTCTGGGGTCTGCTGTCCTCATTCCATGCTTCTGTTGGACCTGTTCACCCTTTCACAAGAAATCCAGTGCAATCAAGCATATTGTAACTGTCGCAGAGAGAGAACCCTTAAAACAAAGTACAACGCAGAGCATTTCTTTGGGAAAAATCTCATCATTCCTCCTGATCCCACCCACACTGACATCACGTCCCTGGTTCCTGCCTTGACCCACAGAGCCACACCCTCACTCTAAATCTTCCACTCCTTTCTTGTGCAAGGTCATTTTATTCATTTCCAGCCTCTCCAAACTAGCAGGCTCATAGCCACTTGTCTTCTAGAGAACTATCCTTCCTAGAAGGTGGTGTATATGTGGGAGAAGGGGGTGCTTAGAAATTTAAAACAATTTAAAGTCATATATCTATGCCATTCTTTTGGGGGAAATTTCTCATTATGTTTTTGAACATTGCAATTTGCATTTAGTTATTCATGAAACCATTAGGCCTGTTTAAATAGCCAAGTCATGTATGGAGAGAGAAAGAAAGAGAGAGAGAGAGAGAGGGATGGGGGTGCTTTCCTCACCTTCCGACCACACCTGATCAGAAGCAACAATAGGTAATCACAGGAACGAAGAGCCTAATTCAATAAATCCTTTCTAGTTCTTTTCCAGAAAGTTTAAAAAATACTGTGTGTGTGTGTGTGCATGTGTGTGCGTCTGTGTGTGTGTGTGTGTGTGTGTGTGTGTGTAGAAGCCAAGATGGTTGGCTGTAGGCATCTCTAACCTAATGAAAGAGGAAAGCTGTACAGGTAAGTTAAAGGATATTGATGATATTGGTAGCTATGGGCAGGGCCCACCTAAATTGTCACCTATAAAAGGTGTTGGTGATCCACATGCCCTTGAGAGGACCATTTGCAAAATATAAAAATAAGATAAAATAAAATTACAAAATGAAAGACCAACTCCCAGGCAAATCGTTATTGCTGAAAGGGCTGATGTTTACCAGGTGAGAAAATTGAGTCTGAGAGAAATTAAATACTATGCAAAGCTTCTCACAGCTGGTGAAGTAACTGAACTATTCTGTATTAGTTGCCTAAAGTCTTCTGCAGAAAACCATCTACTCCTTTCTATCCAAGTTCTCTATACTCTGGCCTCCAGATCCTCTACTCTCGCTCTTCCAACATCTCACTCCACATTTTCTCTCTTCCTTATCCATCATCTCCCTTAAGCTGTCACTCAGCCTATTCTAATAGGGAAAGGCTGATGTCCTGGTAGAGGGCCCACCCAGTCTCACTCCTCTAGCATTCCATGGGACTTGAGAGACGACTACTATGACATCTTCTCTTGCTCTTGCACGTCACCTCCCTGCCAGTCCCCTGGGGAGGTTCTGCAGCCCAGGTTGATTGGTCTTTTCTCTAGCAATCTCTTTGAGGGCAGCAAAGAAGACTAAAACAGAGAAGGCCACCATGCCTTAAGTCAAACTTTAACACCTGAGGGTGGCCCGCACGTCTCATGTGTGGATTCACAGAATAGGATTCACAGAATATCTGTGCTTTCAGGGCAATCAGGGGAGAAATGCCCAATTGATTTATGAAACCAGGACCTACAGAAGATCAATTTGTTTCCAAACACTTGCTGCCCAGAATTGTCTCTGCATCCTAGCTTCTCCAGTTCATTCCTTGCTCCAGGTTCTTGCTCAAGAAGTAAGTTAGTATACCAGTTTTCACAGTGGGAGAAATTAGGATATTGAGTAACTTGCTTCACATGTCAGTGGCCAAGCTATGTGGCCCTGGTCAGCCAGGCTTCAAGCACTTTTCCTTGGGCAGTACCTTTGGGCCCATGGACACATTCATATAGGAAGTGGTACAGGAAAGGAGCAGTAAGCTGCTTGTCTTTCTTTCCATCTGAACTATGACCCCAAATTAGCACTCTGTCCTGTGAAAGCACCTCATTTAGAATAACAATGCAAAAGCAGCAGCTGGTATTTGTTGAGTGTGCTAAGAGCTTTGCAGAAATCATTTTTTTAACCCTGTAAGAAGTAAATGTTCTCAGGGAAATGAAAACATCTATGTAATCAGGTTCACAGATTATCTATCTAAATCACAGCTCTCCCTCTTCTCTTTCCCCTTTCTCAAGAACCAAAACAGATTTCTATTAATAGAAACCAAATTCAATTTTCTTCCTCACCGGGCTGATGTGGTATCTGGCGCCCTCTAGTGATAGAAAAATTCCGCGGTAGAAGTAGTGTGCTTAGATCTTCCTCCATCTCTACCAGCCTATGTAGATAATGTTATCCTTACTTGAGGCTGAAACTGTAAGAGGTAACTTTTAACAACTAATTTTTGTAACAGAGAATTTCTTATGCTGATAAAAAGTTCTAATGATCTATCAGTTAGAATTCTTTTAGTTCTAAGAGTCTGGCTTAAGCAAAAATTGATAATGTATTGAGTTGGGTAACTGGGTTTGATTTCAGGTGACGCTAGCAGGCTCTGCCTCTCAGCACGGTTTCCTCTCAGTGTGAGTTGACTCTGCTTTCAGTTCTGGCAGGTCCACAAGTTCTCTTTACCACCACGCCAGTTCCACACTTCACATATTCCCATATTAAATCCAGTGGAGAAGAAAGAGTTTGTGCTCTACTGTTGCTAGCGAAGGTCGCAAGGTTTACTCCAATTGAATGTGATGCGCTGGCTGCCTTAACCAATTGGTGTTCCTTGTCCCCTCCTTCCTCCTCCCACCTATGTACACACACAGACCCAGGGATTGGTGTCAATGCCACTGTGGTGGTGAATTTTATGTATCAACTTAGCTAGGCCACAGTATCCAAATATTTGGCATTATTCTGGATGTTTCTGTGAAGATATTTTTTGATGGTATTAACATTTAAATCAGTAGACTCTGAGTGAAATAGTTGCCTTCTCTAATGTGGGTAGGCCTCATCCAATCAGTTGAAGTTCTTAAGAAAGACCTCCCCTGAGACAGAGGGAATTCTGCCAGCAGACGGTCTTTCATCTCAAACTGCGGTTCTTCCCTAGGTCTCCAGGTCTCTAGTCTGCCAGCTAGCTACCTTGCAGATTTTGGACTTGCCAGGGTCCACAATCATATCAATCAATTCCTTATAATCTCTCTCTCTCTCTCTCTCTCTCTCTCTCTCTCTCTCTCCACACACACACACACATACACACACAATCTCAATATCTATATCTATATCTATATATATGTTTTTTTTTTCTCAACACACACACACACACACACACACACAAAATCTCAATATCTATATCTATATATATGTTTTTTTTTCTCGAACCCTGACTAATACAATCTCCCACATCAAATAGTTAAAGAGAGGGAAGAGAAGCAATATTTCCAAAGTCAACTTGGAAGTGCTGTTACCAGAAAGAAAAAGATAGGATAAACAATCATAGATGTTCACTACAATTGGGAATTATTAAAATGAACTTATGGCTATAGCAATTTGGTTTATAACAATATTTAAAACATTAGGTCCATGGGGAGAAGGGATAAAAATAGCCTTAGTAGTGAAAAGGTGTTGAAGGTTTTCATCCTCTCAACTTTTTAAATAGTCAGCTATGTGTTGAAGTGTTATTCAGAATGAGATGTTCAGTGGCAAGAGTATCTTTAGAATAGAAAAAACAAACTTTAACTTATATGGTATGGTTTGAGTAAAACCAAGATGGTCAGGTCCAAAATATCTCCCACAGCTGGTCAAGTGCTTGAAATTCTATTATTAAAATTGTATTTTTTGCTCTTGAAGGATTGGAGCCCTTAGGAATGTCCACATAAAAATGACTTTTAGAGATATCCAAAATGTTTTCCCCAGAACACCAGCATTCAGGAGGTGATCATTCAATGAGTGTTCTTCAATGGACACCATAAAGAAGACAAAGAAGTTTGGGAAACAGTATATACCATTGCTCCCTCTTAGTCACAATGCATATTATTAGCATATCAAAAGTTCTGAGAATTTTTGGATTAAATGGCCTGTTTAAATTAACCCCAAATTTTCTAAAATCATTTCACCATGAAATATTTCTTCCCACAAAGCACCTATTACTATCTCATTGAACTTGAGAGTAATTAGGTATGGGGGAGGGTTAGAAGGTAGAGGTAAAATTGGAAAGGGCAGGGCCTCAGGAACAAGAATATCTAAGTTTAATTCCTGGCTCTGTTATTTATTAACTAACCAACTTTGCCAATGTTGCTTAAACTTTTTTGGCTACAATTCTTTGTTTGTAAAGTAAGCTTAATAGTCACTCATCTCATTGGGCTAAAATGATAAATATTAAGAAAAAATCATTTGTGAAAGTTGCTGGCTTATAATTCACTCTCAGGAGATGCTGATTTTAATTTTTTTCTCTCTCTCTCTTCTTCCTCCTTTCTTTGTGTCCTTCTTTCCTTCTTTTTAATGAAATTTTCAATTTTCAATTAACTTATTTAAGTTTTAGATTTAGAGGAAAGTTGCAGAAATAAAACACAGGGTCCCCAAATACCATCACTCTCACCCCCATTCACTTCTTTTTGTGTCTATTAAATGCTGGGAAGTGTAAGAACAGGACTGGCACAGCCAGGGTCTTCCTCACAGAACTCACTAACAATCTACTGGAAGATGAGGCAGAGAAGCAAATCAACGCCTATAAGACTGGGTAATAAGTGCAGTGGGAAACACAAGTCATCATGTAAACTTGCCTTCTGTAAAATTCTTGCAAAACTAAACAGACAAATCTACTTTTCCAAAAATAATAGTGACTTCGAGTGGGTGTTAACCTGGCATTAAAGAATCCCTTTTTTTTTTTTTTTAAAGAAAATTGTTCAGGAAATAATGAGTAATAAAGGAGAGGAAGTAATTGTGAACGTTTAATACAGCTGGAGCTGTGTGATTCGTCCTAAGTAGTTAGCTTTGTTCTCTCCTCTTGAGAAGTAAAAGCTAAGGGGTCTTCCCTTTTCAGAATCTCCATAGCACACTTCATACACTAGTCGGAGCTCCTGCAGGCCTCTCGTGTCACCACAATACGGGGAGCTGAGTGAAGGATAGAACTGATTGTTCCCAGCAATTAGCTAAGGCTCCTGCAACCAGGCAGGACTTGGGCGCTCAGAGCTCCAGTCTCAGCTTAAGTCCTCCCCAACCTTCCCAGTCTGAACTACAGAAGAGTTTGGGAAGGATAGCAAGCCGCCCTCAGGTTCCTCACCTGAATCGGACAAGCCAGGCGACTGTAGAAACGCCCCAGAATGGGGAATGCCCATTTGTGCAACAAACCCTGACTCCCCGCTCTGCACCTCCCTCGCAGGCGAGTAACTGAATCAAAGGCGCCTTCCTCAACCCTAGAGCTCCTCAGCAAAGCTTCCTCCCCGCCCCTCCCCCGGAGCATTTCTTTAGGTCCCCTCGGGGGTCTCGGAGGAGACACACACAGGTGCTCAGCGACACTTCTGGAAAGAGAGGAAAGGCGCTTGAGTGTCACTTCGCGTGAGCGCCCGGGGCGGGCCCTGCTGGCAAACACACACACCCAAGCTACCCGGAGCTCAGAAGGGGCCAGGCGGGGCTATCGCTTTCCCTGGGGGGTAGCTGACCGGCTCAGCTGGGAGTGTGAGAAGGTCTTTCACTTCGGAGCGTTGCTCCCCAGCCATGACCGGGCTCGGGGTTCTCCTGCCTCTGGTGAGTCCTCTCCTGCCCGAGCGGGGCTCCGCCGGGCCGGGCCGAGCAGCGACGGCGCCTAGG